TTAAGCATTATATATTTACAGTATTTACTGTCTGTTATATATACAAATACATTGCTTTTCTTCTAATGGAAAAACAGGGTTCAGCAAAAATATGAATCTTCACATGGGTTATTTTTCATTCTCAGAAAGGAAACTGTTCAACTGAAGGTGAAATGGGTGTTCAGGGATGGTTTCCTGGGCTATATACTCTCTAGATGAGGGGATGATAAATTGTATAATATTTTTTAAATTATAAGAAAGCTATATTGTCTCAAAATTAGAAATTATACCATCTAACAGTTAATAAAAACCTCATACCTACAAAATCACATTATCAGGTGAGCATTCTGAACCAAATGTTCGTGAAAACAAAATAACTGAAAACAAATAATCCACAAATCACTCCTGAAATGGCTCCTAACAGTTACTTTGTTAATTAACCAAGGCTGTCTCAAACATGCTTCCTTTAAACAGCACTCCAGTCATCCACTTCCATTAACTGCCCCTCTGCATTGTTTTGGAGGAGCATGGGACTGGAGGGAGAAAAAAGATCATTCAGCTTTATCTAGTTCCATGAACAGTCATTACTTACCTGGATTTGATGGTGGAACTGCTCTTGCTGGGCATTTATTTGTTCCTGGCATTGTTTTTCTACCAGTCTCAGCAGCTGTATCCACCTTGTCTATTAAATCACAAAGTGAAATAATTAAAGCACAGAAATATTGCACCTCTTACCTTTTTCTCTGGCTACAAATAGCTTTGCAGTGCCATCCCTGGGTGTTGACATGATACAAAGTTGAGTAAGAGCACTGTGGTTGCCCACCCCACAGTACATTCAGCCCCCACCATGCCAATCAATGGAAACTAAAAGTAGGAACAGCTGCCAGCAAAGAACAGTCAAATTCTGGAAAGGTTGATTCCAGTTCCATTAATTGTAGGCAATTCTAAAATTGAGAATTAAACACCCTTCTGTCCATCCACTTCACTAAGAAACTCTTCCCCTCAGCATTCCAGCTAAAGGCCATGATGCATAATTGTGTCATGGAAACTAAGAGATAATTTTTTTTTTAAAAAATCACATACACAGCATTCATGAAACATGGCAAAATCTGATGTTCAAAAACTATTTTATGTTATGGAGCCTGGTGCTTGAAGCACAGGACACGGGACACAGACATCAATATTCTGTTCCTGGAGGTGTTAAAGAGAACCCAAATTAAGCATCTGTCAACACACACTTGGATGGATCCCAGCCAGGGAGCTCAAAAATCTGCAAGAAGAAGCCCATGGTGTGCAAAACTGATGCTCCTTATGATAACTAAAAATAATCGTAAAATTAAAAATACAAAAGGACAAAAAACGTTCCAAAAAGTGTTTGGGAGAATTAGTTCATTAAAACCATATAATTGTTTTTGCATTGGTTTAAATCTGGAAACAAACTAATCCCCTACACGTTTACAAATGGATTGTATAAATAAATCAAGCAAAACAGAACCATTTTTAGAAAAAAACCCTTCTAATTTCTAGGATTATTTCAGACCAGTTTGATGTGACACAGTTTTAATGGTTTAAATTTTTCAGTTCAAGAACTTCCTATCTTTACTGTAACTTTGGAAAAAAATGTTCAGATCCATATTATATTATAATATATATAAATTATTAATATAATACTATTATTTTATAAAACACCAAGGCATAAAGACAAATTATTGTAAAACACAAAAATAAAATTGCAGTAAAATCCAGCCAGGTGATTAGTTCATTTATTGTAAAAGGATCTGTCCCATCATTAAGAATAAACACAGACCTTGCTGTGAATTGTATCATTAGATTTGCCTTCCAAAATGCAAAGCAAATACATTCATACCACTTTTTAAAAACAAAATTTAATATCAAATACCTCACAGTTCCTCACAATCTCTGAGTTAGCATGTCCAATGTTCTGGATATCTTGCATAAAGGAGGCAAGCAGCTCAACAGAACCAGGCTTTAATGAGGACCTGGTATTCCCTGAGTAACCAGAAACTCCATTGGGATTGGATGAAGGACTTCTAGTGAAACACAAGGAAAACAGCTCAATTATTTATTGTGTCAGGTGTGCAGCAATACACTGCATATGCCAGACTGCCAGAAGAGAATTACACACTCAATTTAGGACTCTCATCATGCTGAAATAAAAATATCACCCTAATACCAATATTACTGTGAAGGCATGCTAACTAAGCAGAACCAAAATAATCAAAGTATTTGTTAGTGGTTCCTTCAGCACGTTACCTGTTAGAATTCAAGCCACAGACAGAGCTGTGGGTGTTTCTGACATCAGAGTCTGCAAAGGACAAAGGGGTTTCTTGGACACAATTCACCACATTGCTGTTTTCCATATCTTAGTCCCAAGTAAGACATTACCCTGAAAACAGAGAGAATAAACATCACTCTCTTTAAAAAAGCATTTGACTTTATTGTGTGAAAAAAAAAACAGAATTGGAACTGAAGAGACAGTTGTTGCAGCCAAACCACCCCAGAAAGTGCAAATATTCCCCAACCAGGCTCCCTCCCTTCTGTGCCATCCCTGCAAGAAGGTGCTGCTCACTCAGCCTTGGGCCTCCCACAAGGCCAAGGATTCCCAACACATCCACACTGGGCTGGAAATACAAAACATTCCAGGTAAAACCCTGTTCTCAGGCTCTGATTGGTTCTTTTTCTTAAATCTGGGGCTCCACAGGCCATGTGCAAGGTGTGAAATCTCCTGTTACCAACATATTTAGCTGTGACTGGAGAGCTGAACCTTCACTGGAAGAAACACACTCACCAAAAATAATAAAACTGAGATCAACTGAGTTAGACTGGGGTCGACCAACTCTGCCATTTCTGGGTGTAATGTTTGGCTTACTTTTTTCACAGATCACTTTTTTCATTGTTATTAAGCAACACTAAATCAGAAAGCTTAAAAATTGAGCTACATTTCTGACCAACTAATAAAACAACAAAAAAAGGAGTCAAACAGGAATCCCACATTGGTTGAAAACAGCAGCTGGTTAACTGAAAGCATCATAAATAAATAAATACACAATACTTGGGCCACAGTCTTACAGCACTCAAAGCAGACTGGTTGTAAAGAGACTAAAATACTCTTCCAGTTTGCATACTTTCACGAAGAAAACCCTTGAAATAATTAATTAAGCAGTTCTTACATAGGGCTTATTTCAGCATGTTGTACACCCTGGTGAATTCAGCCTGTGTTCTAACACTGTAGAAAAACCTTATGATCATTTCATGGATGGAGAGCAAAAAGAGCCATTAAGAAATATCATCTTGGTAGTCTGATAATGCTAAGAATAAATTCCTGCTGCCTTAAAGAAGCACAACACCTCCAAAGCACAACTCCTCTTTACAGGGCTTGTGGGCTGATGGCTTTTACAGATTCAAGTTTTCATTATTTGCAAGTTCTTGGAGATACGTCTCTAATATTTTGAGAAATATAAAATATTTTCACCAGAAGGAAACTAATGGACAACTGTCCTATTTTCTCCTGTTTTACTGGAGCCTGCTTGGCTTGAGCAGAAATGTTTTCTGGGTACTCACTCACTATCTCCTCTGGGTAGGGCTGAAAATGCCAGAATTGGAAGGAAGTTACCACAGACACACACATCCCTCTGGCAGAGCTTCGTGGGATAAAGAAAAGAAGAAAAAAAACATAGCTTTCTTCTTTTTCTAGAGGTCGGAAGCCCGCAAAACTCGGAGGTTATCAGGCTGCTAAGCCGACAGCTCAAGCTGAGGCTGGAGAGTGACTGGAGCAGGGGATGGGGGCGGCATCAGTCACCCCGAAAGCCCAGGATGGAATCATGGGTGGCCTATCTCAGCAGCACAGCAAATGGGTGGGACTTAGCTGTGACACAGGCTCGTTTCATAACCTCATTAGAAGTCTGCTCTCGATTAAAAATATATATATATATATTAGCGAGCTGTAAGTGCGCTGCGGGAGCGCTGTCACCCATCGATGGCACAGCCCAGCACGGTCCTTATACGGCTGCGGAAAACAAGCCGCGAGGCGTTTTGAACTCAGAAATATCGGCGCTGATCTGGATGCTAACGCCAGCGCGGACACAGCCCGTGAGGTTCCGCAGCGCTTCCTGAGCCAGACCCGACTCCTTCCGAGCCCTCAGCGCTGACAGGGTGCCTCGGTCCCCGCCGCCGCCAGGCCCCCACCTGCCCACGGACCTTGAGGGAGCCCCAGAAGGCACAACGAGTCCGGGGCTGCAGCGGCCGCCCCGAGGGCTCAGGCCCCGCAGGGACCCCTCTCGCCACGTCCGCACCGTCGGGGCCGCCTCCCGTGCGTCCGTAACCCCCTCCCCGGCTCCGCGTGCGCCCCGTCCGCCCGCAGGCGCCGCGCTCGCCCCGCCGTGCCCAGGCCCCTCACAGGTCACCCCGCACTCGGCGCGGCCGCTCCACGGCCCCGTCCCTTCACCAGCGCCCCACAGCGGCTCCGCAGCCCCGCCCCGCTCAGGCCAAGCCCCGCCCCGGCGCTGTCATTGGGCGGCCGCTCCTCGCGCTCCGCGATGTTGACAGCGCCGCCGCCTCCGATTGGCTGTAGCGCCCGTCAATCTGCGGGGAAAGGGGCGGCGCGCTGGGAGCGGCCTCGCGGCTCCGGGATGGGGCGCGGGGGCCCGGCCAAGCGCGGCGGCGCTGCCCTCGCCGGCTGCCCGCGGGCTCTTTCGGTTCATACCCGCATCGCTGGGAGCCCCCGGCGCCCGGCAGCCTCCTCCTCCCGCGGCCGTGAAGCGACGAACAGGCGCGGCCCTGCACCGCCCGGCCGGGAGTTTCGAACGCGGGGACGGGGGTAGAGGGCGCTCCGCTCTGGGCCCGGCCCCGTGATTGGCCGCCTCGAGCGCGCGCCTCCCGCGCTGATTCGCTGCGCGGCAAAGTCCGCGCGCCGCCGCCAGCGGATTGGCGCGCGCCGCGGCGCCGTTCCCCGAGAGAACCGATTGGGGGGGCGAGCGCCATCCCCGCCCCTCTCGCGCAGTGATTGGCCGCCCCATATGCCAATCAGTCCGGCAGCGCCGCCCTCCCCGCGGCGTGCGCATGCGCGGTGCGGGAGCGCCGGTGGAGGTGAGCGGGGCCCGAGCGGGACCGGAGGGGTCGGGCTTGGCCTGGTTCGGATTTTCTGTTTATTGCCATGTGGCACTTCTTCACACACTGAAGTATTTTCTTCCGAGCCAAATAAAGTATTTCAAGCATGTAGTCTTTTAGTTGCTTACCTAATGCCTTACTAAAGACTGACAGGAGTAGGAGCTGCCATTCCTCATCATCCATGAGGAAAATGCACACTTCAGGCACACCTTTATTGATTATATTGTGAATTCCTTCACCTGGGAAAAATCAGCTTCCCAGTTAGTCTCTACAGGTCAGACTGTAAGACTGAAATAACCTCTTTTCCCTCTGTTGTTTTGTTTTTTTCTTTTTATATGTTTAGTGTTTTCCAAGTGTTGGTAGGAGTATTCTTTTATTGACTGTTTTCCAGATCCCTTTCAAAATATTTTAAGAAACGTAATTATATTGAGAACCAAAATTCTATTCAGCATGGTAAATATTTCAAGGCAAATGAAACCAGTTCAGGTAACCGTGAAAACAAATCTGAATATTGAAATACTGCTCAGTATGTACAGCTAAAGCAGCTCATCTTAAAACAAGGATTCTCATGGCAAACTCCTCTCTCCCATTCCTTTCCAGGTTTCGTTCCAGAGAAGTTGCATCCTGGTTTCTGTATGAATGTCCCAGGTTTATTTCACTCTGCATTCTTACTGAGAGCGGTGCAAACACCACCATGGGCACGGTGGCTTCTGAGGAAGCAGCAGCTCTCTCTGCCCAGCCTTCCCTTGCTTCAGGCAGCAAGAAAAAACAACTCTTTGAATCTCCTTGAACTAAATGAGGCAGAGTTGGAAGAACAGTTTGTGAGAGGTGATGGCCCAGGAGGTCAAGCCACAAATAAGACAAACAACTGTGTTGTCCTGAAGCATATTCCATCTGGGATTGTAGTGAAGGTAATTGTGTTTTGTTTTATTGAGTCAAATTGCATCAGGACTTCCAGGTGTCCTTTCAGAATAAAGCATAATCACAGTGCAGGTGGCATGGAGGAAAAGTTTATATATAAATATATATATATATATATAGTAAAGAGCCTCAGCAAGAAGCAGTCTTGCCTGTCAGCAGATAAACAAACTTGGAGTCAGAGCTCCTTCTCCTGGCTTTGCCACCCAGTTACAGTTCTGTAGATTCCAATTAAATTAATCTTCATTGTAGCTGTCACATTCCTGTCCCTCATGTGAGTTAGAATCTGTTCCTTAGCAAGTTGATCACTTTGCAGATCCTTTTAAGCATTTCTCTTACCTGCTTCTTGTGGATTAATACCTTGAAATTAATCTTTGCTTCCTGTCACAAGGGGAAGACACAGTTCAGTTAAACTCAAGCAGCTTTCCAGGGTAAGATGGGAAGCATTAAAGATTAATGCAAAAGCCAGTCTGATGAGTTACAGTAGCAAATAATTATTAAAATATATCATCTGGATTTAAAAGTTGCAGCTGTTATTGGTGGGAGGATGCTCTTGGCTTGGGGAGGAGGGGATTTTCTTTAATGGCAGGAATGTATAGACTGAAAGGGAAGGCTGAAGAATAGACAGGTTTAAGTTAAGGTTTAAGTTAAGGTTTAAGTAAAAATGTCCTTTGTATTTCTTCAGTGTCATCAGACAAGATCAGTGGAGAAGAACCGAAAGATTGCCAGAGAAATCCTGCAGGAAAAAGTTGACCTTTTCTACAAAGGTGAAGACAGTGATGTTTTTAAAGAGAAGAAAACATCAGAGAAGCAAAAGCAGGAGAAAAAAAGAAGAGCAAAGGAAAACCTAGAAAGGAAAAAGCTTTTTAAAGAGATGCAACAATTGGATAAGGAATAAACATGTGAAATATTGCCTTGCCCTAGCAGGGTAAGAGAATTGTTTGTCATTAGACCCAAACAGTTTTCCAGCTAACAAATGATGCAGGGCTTCATAAGCACAGCTGAAACCCCAGTGCTGACCTGCTGTTCCTGCAAAGCTGAGGAGATAAAAGCACTCATGTACTCCTGCTTCTCCCTGCCATCATCTCATTAATCACATTCAGCAATCAGGTTTTCTGCCAGGTCCAGGAGATAAAGGAATCCTTGTTAAAGAGGAGCTATAAGCTTTCCACCATTGTTAGCACAAACCAAAAAAAAAATCAATAGATTTCCTTCTGTGCAGATGACACCTCGGGCTGCTTCCTGGGAGCTGCAGCACATGAGAACAGCACTAAAAGGTTCTCACTTCCCATCCTCACCCAGGCAGTGACACAAATCCTTTACAAACTGTGAGCAGGTTTGGATGCTGGTTTTGTGGTGTGAACTGAGCTGCTGCTGAAGAGACACCAGTCACTGGTTCAGACCCATCAGCTGAACTAATGCTCTGTCCTACTCAGCTCTAAGTTTAACCAGCAGCTTTCCAGAGCTTACCTGGAGTGGTGCTGAGCACTGGGGCACAGGGAGGGCCCTCCTGCAGGTCAGGGATGGTCACTCATGGCCCTCCAGTTCAGGGGTAAAACTGAGTCATTACAGATGAAAAATTGCCTGTGTTGGAAGCTGCCTCCCAAGGCAGCAGAGTCCAGTTCATCCAAGCTGTTAATTAATTAATTAGAAGTGTTTGTTATGTTTATGCTGTGCTGCAGTTCAGCTTGGCCGTGTTGGTACCTTCACTCATTTTGACAGTGTCCCATTTTATAGGAACAAATGCAGCTGTGTTTCCTTTGTCACCATTCCTCTGAAGCCACTCCTGAAGTACATCTTCCCTGGTTGTGTCCTGCTAACAATTCCAGCAGCTTAACCAGAACTTCTCTTTCATTTTTGGACAGCACCCTCACCAGTTGCCACCATGTTTTGGTGACCCAAAGCCAGAGTATGGATTTTGAAGGCAACAGAGACTTCTAGAACTTCACCTCCTTGTCCCAGAGACCAGCTGCACCCTGTGCCATGGATGGAGTGCTCCAGAAATCTGCAGGCCCCTTGCCTTGACCTTTCCTAAACTCCTGCATGAAGTTTAATTTTTATCTGTTGAGAGTTCTTGCTCCTGGAGTATGAATCTGATTAAAGTGACTGTACATAGTTTTAATACAAACTGTTAATGAAAATAAGCTTTATTACGTCAAGTAATAAATACATACAAAGATGCAAATAACAGTTTTAGTAATTTATCCAGAACGTTTTTTTCTTTTCTTTTTTTTTTTTTTTTTTTGCAAACTTTAAACTGAAATCTCCAGCCTTAGTGTAGAAATTAGCTTTCCAGGACCTTGTTATTATTTAATAGGTTTCCCTATTTTCCATATAGCTCATGCACTTTAAGTGGACTTCAAAGCACTAACAGTCATGCAAATGTTTATGCAAAATGAACAAAAAAAAAGGAAAAATAAGAGAAGGGGAAGGTTATTTCTAAGCAGGGTCTATGCTGTATGACAAATTGTGACTTAGCAGACTACTAGGTACAGCATGCTATTCTGCATTTATTTTAAAAAAAATCCTTAGAGCTTATGTCAAACTTTGAAAGATTGACGTTTTGGGGATAAGTGAACATAGTCAAAGGAAAAAAAAACAAACAAACAAACAGAATGAGGCTGTGGCTGGATAAGAAGAGAACTGAAATACAGCCTGGGAGAGAAAGAGCATTCCTCTGCATGCACTTCGGTTTCCATGTTTTAGAAACATTTTAGGGAGTTTTAACTTCTTTAGAAAATGCAAACCCTCAGTAAGTTGAAAAACCCTTTTGTTGGTTTTTTTTTTTCCCCATTCTTAACTGTACATTTTTGCAAGGGCAAAACAAGAACGCTAAAACATTCAAAGTAAAGGAGTTTGTCTGAATGTTTGAAGAGTCAAAAAGAAGAAGTGTTACTTTTTCCTCACGAGGAGATGCAGAACCTTGCAGCTGCTAGGATCTCGCGTTTCGTTCCGTCTCGGCCAGGCACTCCCGAACCAGTCCTCGAGCATGGATAATGCCTGCAGAAGAGTTGGTTTAAATCATCCCATTCAGGCCACACTGCAGTGACAGCCCACAGGAAGGTTTATGTATTTCTGTCCCCAGTTGCCAAGGCTACCACAGAAAGCCTCAGCAGAGGGGACAGCCCTCGCTCCCCAAACATCAGCTGCCACTAAACAAGTGTGCCTTCCCAAACTTGCATTGTAAATTGAAAAGGGACTAAACCAGGAATGAAAACACAGTAAAACTTGTAAGTCTGCAGTGGCAGGTAGATGTTAATGTGCAGTGTGGGCCTCCTTAAAATCAAAGATTTAAGGGGGGAAAAAAGCATCTTGCCTACCAGTGAGTTATTTTGCTAGTGGAGTGAAACAAATTACAAAGTTATTGGGGAGTCATTTTAGCAAGCTCTTAATGCCTTGGGATAGTTCTCCTCTGGGAGGATGCATCAAAATCCAAGCCATCATAATACTGTTAAAGACAAGTTGTGTCTTTCATGTAAAAAGAAGAATTTTTTTTTTTTTATTGTGTATGCAAAAAGTTACCTCCTAACCCTGGCTCAGCTCCCAGCGTAAATCATCACCCCTTTACATGCTGCTCTCATCTGACAGACATATTGTGGAATTTTCCACTACAAGTCCTGTAGCCTTGAGTTCCAGCAATCTGGACTCTGGTTCATAATCCTGGAACTAAGTGTGGATTCATGCTCACAGAGCTGCTGAAAGAACAAGAGCTTGAGGTAGGTGTTAAAATGAGAGGTGGACAGATTTTCTCACAACAAAGTTTTATGTATTTTGCTGACTAGGCAAGACAGAAGGTGATTTCTCTGCTCATCATGCTCCTTAACAAGGCAGAGGAAGGGTAGTAAGGCAATAGATGGGGGTTAATCTCTGGAGATAAAGGCTTCTAGAAGGCTGCTAGCCCAGATCACAGCGAGCCTACCGACCTGGGAGGACTTGGTGAGTGGAAGGCTTTGCAGAGGGTTAAAGTGCCACGGAGGAGGAAAGCTGCAGCTGTGGGATGCAGAAACATGAACTCAAGGCAGTGTGTTAGACCTGGATCTGGTGGCAGGATGCCCAGTTCATGCAGCAGAACTACTCTGAATAATGTAGAACACTGGGAATTGGGCCAGTTTTAGAGGTCAGTAGTGCTCAGGAGCGGGCAGAGCTGGGGACAGGGACTTTTTTCAGGGATAACCTCCATGGCCATGGAGGCAGCAGTCACGTGTTACCCTCAATCATTCTGCTCTCACACTTGCACATGCTCCTTCAGCCACCAGGCTCCCAAAATGGAAAGAGAGGTACCTTTGTGACCAAAAGATGGCAGCAAAAAGTATTTATTCAGGATTTTGTGCAACACTGGCAAGTCACAGTGGCAGCATTGTATCTTAAACCTACCTTGTTGCAAGAGGAAGCAAAGCAACTTTTTCCTCACTGAACTAAACCATCCAGTCCAGAGAACATCTGCATCTCTCTCAGTCTCTCTCAAGCTGTCCCCATTAGCCTGTTGCCATTCATGATCTATTAATACTGACTCAGGCAATGCAATAAAGAGAGACTCCAGCAACATTGATTTTAGCTGGGCCAGATTCCACTTACCACTCATCAGCAGACTTTATTGCATCCTTTCCCAGAACAGCTACTAGTCATTTTATTGCATGTCATGGCAGATATATTACTCTTCCATAATGGTTGAGCCTTAAATAAAGCTTTGTAGTCTGGGGTAAGTGTGAGGGGGATTTGCAAGGTGCTGAACTTAGTCTGTCACAGTAACATTCCCATTCCGGGTTGAATGCATGAGCCAATCTCATCACAAGGACCACAGGAAGGTTGGGAAAAGTAAGCATGTCATGCTAGAGAAGGAGAGAACTGCCAGTACAACTGTTGTCTGTGGCCTTTCAGGGTCATTTCAGGAGCTGGAGCAGCGGAATGTCCCACTGCTCCTTCAGAAATATCCCTGCACGTCCCCTGCAGAGGACAATGTCAGGCTGATGTCAGCGGTGGGACACGCAGGGGTTTCTTTTACACTCCAAGGAAAGGGCTTTATTACCCCTTTTAGCTGACAAAGCAAAGCTGGAGACACTCATCAGCCAGCCCTAAAAGCTGCTCTGTCCCTTTCTAGTGGACTTTTAATGACATGCACTTGACAGGAGGTAAGGGAGCCTAAGCAGCCCCACTCTCCTCTGCACAGAGCTCTGTTCATGTTTGACATCTCAGCCTGAACAGCCTTCCCTAACACCTTTTTGGGGTTTTTTTTAGCTTTTTTTCTCCACCAGCCTCAGTGGAAGCTACCACAGTGTTGTATTTCTTTAGGCAAAATGCACTTCAGTGAACATTCCTGGGCCAAGTAGATGGGAGATGTGTATGAGATGTAAACAATGCCTGGCTGTGGATTTTGGGGAGTGGGGAGAAAAGGGAATTGAAAGGGCAAGAAAATCACCAGGAGCCTGAAAGAATCTATCCATGAAAGATTCTACAATAAGAATTATTTTAATTTGATTTTGAATTATTAAGTGAAACTTCCTATATGCAAATGAGACACTTTTTGTCACTGTTTATCTATCAAATACTGCTCAGACAGAGCATCCCAAGGTTTCAGTTGCTGGTTAATACTCCCACTTTCAGGAGCTCAAGTTGTCTCTTTTCAAAGGAAACAGATGTCATTAAGGTGTATACAAGTAGTCAGTGCACAGAGTGGATGGGAAATGACTATTTTTTTAAAAATAAGTTTAAAAGTTACCTCTTTTTAGCCTCTCCATCGCACTTTTACTCCCAGCATAGGTAGGTCTAATCTCTTTTCCTAATTCTTCTATGATAGCTAGAAGTTCTGCATATTTGCTCTGTGGTACTTGACTGCTGCTGGTGCCCTGTAATTGAAAGTAGATTAATCTCAGTCAAATACTGTAAAAACAAAACAATTACAAAAAACAGCAAGTGGAAGTTT